ATGCGAGAAACCACATGAGAGTTTCAGTCTGCAACCCATTTGCAGAAATGGCTTGAATAACAGCTACACAGTTAGATCTTTTAATTTCTTTTAGTAAAAATCGTTTTTTGTCTGCAGTTAATTAGATGATTACTTCACTCCTATATAAAATCTGCAAGAGCAACAGCGTGTGTCTCACCCCCATTCCAGTAAAAAACATACAAAAGCTAACTTTAACCCCACCCCTGAGAGATGACAAGATACTTTTTTTTTTCTCATACACATTTTCAACCAACCACCCCTCTCCTGGGAAAAACAAGAGCCTTTGGACTGAGCGAAAAAAGTGTTGACTGCTCAACCTAGCCAATAAAGTCATCCAATATTCACGAGGGTAAAAAGAAAAAAGAAAAAAATTGTTAATTTGTTTTGAATTTTTGACGGTACGATGGACATGAGAAAAATAAAAACTGTTGTTGTGAATAGACCACTTTCATAAATGGCTGCCGGATTAATATTCTTTTGTTTAAATTTAAGTTAGCCTTTCTGGCCTCGTTCTCTAGTACAAAATTCAAAAGAATACATTATCTCAAGCGAGGCCAGAAAGGCTAATTTCAATTTCAACAAAAGAATATTAATCCGGCAGCCATTTTTGAAAGTGGTCAATATCAACCAAATTTGAGCCGATCAATTCAAGTCTAGACATGCATAGTGTCGGGTGATTTTCATATTTCACTGAAAGCTGCGCGGTCAGCGAGTCTTCATTATTAGTTCAAGCTTACGAACTGAAGATTGCAAAGTGGACAACATACATGAATTAGTCATCAAAATTGGAGAATCGAAAACTTCCAGACTTGCACTCGTGTTTACCCTTCGGCGACTGCACACATGATGTAATGTCTATTTTGTCAAAAAATGTAATGGCGTAAAAAGGTTGTGAGTCATCGAAAACCAAACAAAAAGTGAATGAAATTGATTAGTTACATTACACCTAAGTTATTGCACACAATAAAACTGAACAAGTTGTTTTCTGAAACCGCTGTCAAGACTCTCTGATTCCTAATTTATATTTAGAAAGTTGCATCGATCTTCTTTTTCGATTAGGGATTCATTTCATCACAAATCCGATCTATAAAAAAAACAGAGTTGAATGAAAGTCCCAGTTTTAGCCGAAGAAACGGTTGAAAGTGTATCTGATCATAAAGAAAAGAGCGAAAAACGGGAAAAATGACGAGATATGCGAACGGAACGGCGACGAGATGATAAGATCTAAATACTAGTGGCGATGAATATTTTAAGAGCGATCCTTGACAGCGTTTTCATACACGAAATAAAACAAAACCGCGCCATTCCATTTCGACATTTCAGATGAACAAAAAAAGAAACAGCTTTCTACGTAGACGAAATGTAATAGTTAAAATCTACCGCATTACTCTAACCTTTGTGGTTCCCTTTCACCGAAAGAAGCCAGCATATCACTACAGATGTTTGGGCGAAGAAAAATATAACGTATAGACTGCTGACCAAGTTTTTAACGGAAGTGCGGTCGATATTATCTGCCGTATGCGATATTTTTTTGCCCCCAAACAATAAAACCGCGTCTGTTAGCGAGTGGACCTCTATATAAACTCACGAACTGGATCGGAAGAAAAACACCAAAGTTGCCACATGCTTTACTTTGATCGTCCAAACAATCGGATTTACTGAAATGTGATCTGTCTCATTTTTATTACTCGTCACTTTTATCATAATCTATGGTGTCAAAATTAACACATCCCATATGAGTGTCTCAAGTCCGGAAATTTCCAGACGCATCGAGTAAGGTGGTCGAGGGAAAAATCTACGCTTTGCGCGAGAACTCTGGATTTTTTTATCTTCTTTTAATCCAAAGAAGTTATCATGCTCTATCAAAGCAAACTGTTTCCCACGAGAAGAAGAGTTTTTCAACGATGAGGAAATGCATGCATCGCATGGCTGCAATTTTGAATGCCAAAGATGCCACTCGTTTTCATATCCCAGATAAACTGAGAGGTTTGAAATCGGACGGAAAGGTCCAGTCACCTCGATTTAACCCTTGGCTACATATCGCTTAAAGCATGGGAAGGAGAGAGAGAGCGGATGGCTTTATCTAACCCATGTACCAAACGTCCGTTTTAAAGGAATAAGATAATGGATTTAGTGAATTCTTGGTGAACTCAGCACCTGTTTTCTTCTTCCAGCCGGGGTTTAGCACTTTAAAATAGCTCCAAGGTTGAAGTAAGTTAAGAATTTCAAACACGAGCGCAGTATTCAGTTGTTTTAGAATCTTACATCTCGTGATCTTGTGAAGTGAAATAAACAAGGCTTGACTTTGAGTAATTTTTAAAAAGGGCTGAGCGCAAAACTTGTGATCGGCTTTGAAGAAATCCCATTATTTTAAAGTAGTCATTTGATATGTATGGTCTGTGGTCATGGGCGTAAAAATCATACGAACACAGACCACGCGAAAACGGAGAACGCCCTTAAATTCCTTCACTTAGCTCAAAAGTTATTTTATAAGCTGCGCATCATCGTATCATATACAGCTGGCCTTTCAGAAAACCATCTTAAACAAAATTATTAACACAGGAATCGCTTTAACTTTGATAAAATCTTTTCTACATCAAAATCGACACCGATTTTGACACCTCTACCGAGCAAACCAACCCTGAACACTCATCTTTAAAGGCTAAAGTCCTTGAGCTCATAAAGCGTGGATGGTGAAATCCCGCTCTGATTTGCCAAATTATTACTCTTCTTGTTGTTTCTTTTTCCATTGCATTTGTCCAGCTAGGTTCCCCATATAAACCCTGCTTGATTTTTAAGGACCTCGCCTAATCTCAAACGAAAAGGAAAATTAATTAAACTTGTCCATGTCGTTTACGTATATTTCCATGACAATAAACCACAATTTTCTTCCGCGTGAACACGATGAAAAGTCCAGATATGATGGGTGTACGTGATCGAGTTCAATCCCTATTTTCAATAGATTATAATCCACTCAAATTTCATCTTTAATCAGCGCTACTTACATTGAATGTTTTAAGAGGAACAGAAAATGATATGAAATTCTCTGAAATTGAGTATGAATTATGTCTATTGAATATCGAGCCTCCTCGACGACAAATTCTCAAAAACTGAATAACTGCCTAATAGACTAAATTGTCGGCGTGAAATTTAGTTTTAAAAATTAAAGCCATTCATTATTCATGTTTGAATGCATCTAAGTTTTCCTTTCCTTCGATGCTTAGCAACATGACTAACAGATCCCACATCATTAATATAATATCTCACGTTCGAATTCACATTCACGTAGATTAATCAAAGCTTGGATATTAAGCATGTCCTAATTCTCCGATAAACAAAAAGGTGATCCGACCTAATCTAAATATCTTCCTAAACGTGATTTGCAACAGTTAGTAAACTTAAGCTGGAGCCTTTCAGAAAAGTTTGAGGGATATCTATTGTTCTATTTTGTTGAATAAAATTGCCGTGGAGATTAGTATTGACGATAATGAAACAAGAGATTTTGAATTGGAACAATGTGGTAGTAAAAACAAATATGTCAAAAAATGCAATAAAAATTTTTTACTGAGAACGCGTAAGAAGTCAACAAATTTACTATAGAACTAAGTTGTAAGGATTCTCCACAGTATGAAATTATCTTTTATACTTCCTTGCTTACTATGAAACCATAAACAATTTAGCGATTGTTTTCAATTAAGAGATGATGTCACCATGCCTTTATTTTCTTTCGTTTCAGTTTCCGAGTTCACTTTGCCATTTTTCAGGGCACTCAAAGGAAAATTTCGACTACTGCTATGGCAATTGATGGTTTCAGTGGGAACGTTATCATAAGTGAACATTCTTGTTATTTTAGTTGCAACTGAAAATATTTATATCGAAAATAAAGTCTAGTTTTGTTTAAACAGATGTCATTCAGGTTGGAATTTGGAACAAATTTCAGAAGTTCGCAATAACAAACTGACAGCTTTTGTCGTAAAATATCAACTGGATAAGCGTGACTTCGAAGAAGTAAATATTTTTAAAAAATTGAAGGTTCAAATACGAGCTAAGGAAACTAATACAACAGCTTATTCTGTCGATAGTCTAACTTTAGTCAAACACGCATCTTGCGATCTTCATTATATTGTTACTCAAACTGTTACATATAAATGATTTAGAGCGAATCAAAGGTCTTCCCGTTATGTTTCGAATCTACAGGCACAAAATGTTTAAAGGAATAGTATTTTTCTACAAGTCGTGTAATTGTTGTACATAATATGGAGCGGTTTACTCGCTCGAAACCGATGTTGACTATCTTACTTGAATCTAAATATGGAGCACGAATGGGGTTTGACAAAATTACCGATATATCCAGTCCCCGCCGACTTTCAAATCTACTGGGAGCGACGAACACTGTTTTCTATGTTTTCAAACTAGCGTGTGACAAATTTTGTAATTATCAGTCATAATTTTGCTCGAAAGTTCATGATATTTATCACAGATTTATAAAAATCTAATTTTTCTTTATTACCAGGCAACAGATCGAAAAATAACATTACAAATGCTTGATGGTTTCTTGTTTAGTTCCAGACTAGCTTTTAAGAAAAGGATGTATTTAAAAGCGTTCGTTGTTCTGCTCATTGTCTCGTTAGTCTTAAAAAATCGTAGAATGAAAGTAGATGATGGAGATGTTGGTCTTCAAAGCCTTTGATACGTAGAGATTTTGACAAGTACTTCGGTGAAAACATAAAGACTTTTTGTATGACACTTAAAACTACTTTGAAAATATATTTTTGATGGGTTCAGTTAGCGTAAAAAGCGAAGAGAAGCAGTTTTAAATACAAATGTTCTCTAACACCTGCCACTTTCGAATCATTCATCATTCCCGCGAAAAATGAAAACATTCGAACACACACCCTATTTCAATCCCAGGTTTCGTTACAGCTTGACATGACAAAAAAATACTTGAAGAAACCTGTACTATCATAACTTGTACTTACAGAGATGGATCTTTGCGATCAGTTTGCTCCCGAGGCAAATCCAAAATCCTGCAAATGGAAGAGGTTTGAAGATGTGAACTGCGCGAGTAACATTAAACAATACGCCACTCCCAATCCACCAATGGCGATTATGTATTCGAATCAAGCCAATAAAGTTTATGTTTACCTCTTGCGTTCTTTAAGCCGTAAGCCTTCCATAATGTTCTAGACGCTTCGCGAAGGAACGCCGATTTCTTCCAGTACCCTATGAAATTCTTCGTCATGCGGAAACCGAAAAATAAAAGTTATCTCGATCCTATTGCTGTTTACGGCGAAAAATTCTGACGAGCAATGAACTTAGATGACTTTCGGTAGACGAACAGGTGAAAGAAAAAACACCAACAAAATTTATGCCAAATCCCTCCTAGCGTCCGTTCGAATTATATCATATTCTTCGTTATGATTGGACAGGCGGCAAAAAGATTCATACTTAATTGTATTTAAATCACAAATTTAATGAAAAAATATTCGTAATTCGAGTTTGGTTTCTTGAGGACGCGGCCAGATAAAAAGATCAATTAGATTACACGAGTGCGTCTGAAATTATTTATAAATTGTTTTAATTTTTTGCCCTCAGGCAGACGTTTTTAAGAAGAAAAACTGTTTTGAAATTGAAAATAGAAAACCGTTTAATTGTGCAGAAGTGGATAGCCAAACACCAGAGTTCTCGGATCTTTTTTTCAGATTAGTCCGACATTTTACCTACCAGTTTTCAAAATATTCAATACAATTTTTTCTATTGATTTTTTTTTGGAAAAAGCTAAAACGTTTGATAAGAATCAAAGGTCAAAGATCAGTGCCTGTGTTTGTATAATACCTTTAAGACTTCAAAATTCTTGGTTACATTAATTTCCAGCAACAGCTTCCCACCTTTGCTCCAGAGTCGCTACGAAAGTTTAAAATTCTAGAAGTGTTTCTACAACAAAAAGATACTTTCTGATAACTTTGTTTTCTCTTTTTTGTTTGACTTAAAAATATATGTAGTGATAAATGTGTGCTATTTACAAGGAACAAATTCATTTTCAGGTGAGACGAATTTCAAGTCATGATCTGTAATCGTTTTTGCAACAAAAAAAAGCTTCATTACAGCTAACATTGGGGAGTTCCCAATCTGTGAAAAGGTAAATTTTGCAATTAATCCTATTGTTCCCATATTCTAAAAGTGATTTCTCTCAACTGATAAAAAAACAAAATTTAATAATTTGCTGGTCATGCAAATTTTGTATCACATCCCAAAAACGTCATCTGGTTGATAATCTTTTTAATTCGCACTACCTACCTATCTTTTGACATGCAGTAAATCATTGTGAGGTGCTGATTACACCTCTGAGTCAAAGGGTTAAAAGATTACAATAATCAATAGCACCACAGATTATTCACAAATGAGAAAAAAATTATTAATTAATGAATTACTTAACTCTGAATAGTTTGAGAGAAAATAGAAAAAAAAAAAAACGGTAATGCCAGGCGTCTTTGTAATCAAAATTTTGTATCCATTTTTCCAGATATTCCAAGTTCAGAATGGCTGGAGTGAGTTATAGTGATACAAATTTCTAATTGCAATGTTTGTGAATCTCAAGAAGAGCTGTTTTCTTCCACCAAGTATGTTTGATAAGAAAAAAAGGTGGATAATCAATCAGTAGAAAATCTTTTTATCGTTCAAAATTGTTTCATTTTGGTCAAACATTGACATGAAATTATTACAAGTACCGGGGCTCAACACTAACTTTTCAACTTACTAGCCCAGTGGCTATTAACAACTTAGATGTTACTGAACAACAATTTCAGTTTGTTTACTTGCCAAACTGGCTGGAGGAAATCCAAAACCACTAGCCAAAACTGAATTTCTACCAGTCTGTGGCTAGTTGGCAACTGTTAGTTTTGATCCCTGAGTACCTTAAAAACATTTTTTTAAAAATACATCAGAAAAATAAAATAAGTTAAACAGTTTTCTTTCAAAGACTTATATTTTAGATAGTTCTACATGTGCAACAACATCACTCAGGTATACTGAACCAACTCAAGTCTTCTTTCATTCAAACAGGGCTATCATTAGTTTCTAATTGACGTCACTGTCCCAGAATATAATTATGCATTAGGTTTCCTTCTGTTTCTCCCACTGCGCAGGTTTCATTGTTTTCAGAGTCAGTGCGTGAATAGTCTTCAATTCCTCCGCTAAGCAATCATTCACCATTCGATGCTGGGCCAGAAGAGGTTTCCCTTCAAATTTGTCAGAAACAATGACTACTGAGAACTTTCCTCCACAACCATCTGTTAGGTCAACCACTTCCTTTATTTATAAAAAAAATATATATATTGTAATGCTCATAAAATAAGATTTCTTCCAAGGTATTAAGCCTTAAAACCTGCAAATTTTTCTTTGCTCCAGGCTGATCACAAGAAAATTTCTCCTGAATCCTTTCAGCACCCAGGAGTGACCAAAAATGAATTTCTCCTTACAATTATTGATACAGTAAATTCAGACTAAGACACAAAAATTAAATGTATTACTTATTTCTTTGTTTAAAACCATCACCCATACTTCATTTTGCATACAGTTTTTTGAAAATAGTAAATTGAACAATGAAAAAACAAAACACTACAACAGGGTTGAAGATAGGAGACGTTAATTTCCCACGCACGAGATTACTGTGTGATGGATGTCCTCCCCT